GTACTGGTAGTAGACGTGTCTAATTGTGTGTTATGAAGTACTGTGTGTCTAGTGTGGTAGTGTGATGGAAGTACTGGTAGTAGATGTGTCTAATTGTGGTAGTGATTATGAAAAGTAATGGTAGTAGATGTGTCTAATTGTGGTAGTGTGGTTGAAGTACTGGTAGTAGATGTTCTAATTGTGTGATGGTGAGGGGTACTGGTAGTAGATGTGTCTAATTGTGTGGTAGTGTGAGTTGAGAGTACTGGTAGTAGGCAATTGTGGTAGTGTGATGGAAGTACTGGTAGTAGATGTGTCTAATTGTGGTAGTGTGATGAAAGTACTGGTAGTAGATGTGTCTAATTGTGGTGGTGATGGAAGTACTGGTAGTAGATGTCTCTAATTGTGGTATTGATGATACTGGTAGTGGACGTGTCTAGTAGTAGTGTGATGGAAGTACTGGTAGTAGATGTGTCTAATTGTGGTAGTGTGTGAGTACTGGTAGTAGATGTGTCTAATTGTGGTAGTGTGGTTGAAAGTGCTGGTAGTAGATGTGTCTAATTGTGGTAGTGTGATGGAAGTACTGGTAGTAGATGTGTCTAATTGTGGTAGTGTGGTTGAAAGTACTGGTAGTAGATGTGTCTAATTGTGGTAGTGTGATGAAAGTACTGGTAGTAGATGTGTCTAATTGTGGTAGTGTGGTGATATGTTTGTGTCTAATTGTGGTAATTATGTGATTTGTCTAATTGTGGTATTGTTAAAGTACTGGTAGTAGACGTGTCTGGTAGGTAGTGTGATGGAAGTACTAGTGATGGTGTCTAATTGTGGTAGTGTGATCGATAAAGTGATAGATGTGTCTAATTGTGGTAGTGGGTTGAAAGTACTGGTAGTAGATGTGTCTAATTGTGGTGGGAAGTACTGTTGAATTAATTGATAGATTATGTGTCTAATTTGAGTGTGATGAAATGTAGTATAGTGTGTCTAATTGTAGGTTGAAAGTACTGGTAGTAGATGTGTCTAGTGTAGTGGTTGATTGGTATATGTGGTGTGTTATTGGTGATGAAATACTGGTGTCTAATTGTGGTAGTGATATCATTAGTAATTGTACACTAGTACTGCCGGTGCGACTGGTAGTGGGGTGATAAATTTAGACATGAGGGGAGATAATATGGTGGGGGAGATGGTGAGAGGGAAGAGGTGGCGAGATAGGATGGAAGGAGATAAGAGGGATATGAGGAAGAGGATGATGAGGGAGTGCTGTTGGAGACAAATGTGAGACCACACACACACACACACACACACACACACACACACACACACACACACACACACACACACACACAGTATTATACTGTCGTTAGCTTACATATTCAACATACAGTTCATGCTGGCTCTCAGGTTGCAGCAGTTCATGGCTCTAGGACATATACATGTCTCAGGGACACATACTTTCTGTGGTTCTCAGGGACACATCACAGTTTTTGCTCTCAGGGACACATTCAGTTTTTGGCTCTGGGACACCTTACAGTTCGTGCTCTCGGTACACATACAGTTCGTGGGTCTCAGGGACACATACAGTTCGTGGTCTCAGGGACACATACAGTTCGTGGCTCTCAGGGACACATACAGTTCGTGGCTCTCAGGGACACATACAGTCCGTGGCCTCAGGACACATACAGTCTGTGGCCTCAGGTAAACATACAGTCTGTGGCTCTCAGGGACACATACAGTCTGTGGTTCCCAGGACACATACAGTCTGTGGCTCTCAGGACACACACAGTTCGTGGCCCCTAGGACACATACAGTCTGTGGCTCTCAGGACACATACAGTCCGTGGCCCCAGGGACACATACAGTCTGTGGCTCCAGTGCAAACATACAGTCTGTGGCCCTAGGACACATACAGTTCGTGGCTCTCAGACACATACAGTCTGTGGCTCTCAGGACACATACAGTTCGTGGTTCTCAGGACACATGCGAGTCTGTGGCTCTGTGTACACATGCAGTTCGTGGCTCAGACACATACTGTCCTGTGGTTCTCAGGACACATACAGTCTGTGGCTCAGGACACATCACAGTTTTGGCCTCAGGGACACTACAGTTCGTGGCTCTCAGGACACATACAGTTCGTGGGTCTCAGACTACAGCCTGTGGCTCTCAGGAGGTGTAAGACTAGGGAGGACTAGGAGTCTCCGGCCAACGTACAAACAGTCACCGGCCAACGTACAAACAGTCACCGGCCAACGTACAAACAGTCACCGGCAACGTACAAACAGTCACCGCCCAACGTACAAACAGTCACCGGCCAACGTACAAACAGTCACCGGCCAACGTACAAACAGTCACCGGCCAACGTACAAACAGTCACCGCCAACGTACAAACAGTCACCGGCCAACGTACAAACAGTCATCACCGGCCAACGTACAACAGTCACCGGCCAACGTACAACAGTCACCGGCCAACGTACAAACAGTCACCGGCAACGTACAAACAGTCACCACAACGTACAAACAGTCACCCGCCAACCACAAACAGTCACCAGCCAACGTACAAACAGTCACCGGCCAACGTGCAAAAACAGTCACCGCCAACGCACAAACAGTCACCAGCCAACGTACAAACAGTCACCGGCCAACGACAAACAGTCACCGGCCAACGTACAAACTATCACCGGCCAACGTACAAACAGTCACCGCAACGGGCCAAACAAATACCGGCCAACGTACAAACAGTCACCGGCCAACGTACAAACAGTCACCGGCCAACGTACAAACAGTCACCGGCCAACGTACAACAGTCACCGGCCAACGTACAAACAGTCACCGGCCAACGTACAAACAGTCACCGGCCAACGTACAAACAGTCACAGATGAAGACGAGAAAGACAAAACAAACAGACGGAATTTATGTAAGTGTTTTCCTGTTTGTCTTCACCGTTAGATAGTGTTTTTCATCCCCCCTTCCTCCCTGTGTGTGTGTGTGTGTGTGTGTGTGTGTGTGTGTGTGTGTGTGTGTGTGTGTGGATGTGTGTGTGTGGATGAAGAAAGTGTTTAGTTAACACCTGCGTCTTTGTCCCATCCCTCGCTTGTCTTCTCCCTGAGGCTGTTTGGCGTCCCTCAAGAGGATGGGCGACCTGTCAGGCGCTGTTTTGACTTGGGCCGTCCATGAGAGAGAGGAGAGAGAGAGGGGGGGAGGGGAGAGAGAGAGAGGAGAGAGAGAGAGAGAGTATCTTTGTATATACAGAATTGTTTTTCCTCCATCTCTCTTTGTATGAGAGATAGAGAAGGAGATAAGGACATTCCGTAAGTTCTCCCTCTTAACTTCTCCCGGAGTCAGTGAGTGCAGGGGAATATATGACCGGCCGTCTCACCACCTCAGGAAGTGGCGTGTAGGGGGGAGAGTGCTGAGCTGCCTCCACACACACACACACACACTGCTGATAACCAGAGACGCACTCCTCCTCCACCTCCTCTTTCCCCTAGTCTCCGTCTTTCTCCATTACTCAGTTTGCTTCTATTCCTCCTCCTCCTCCTCCTCCAACCTCCTTGATCAGGCAAGGCAAGTCAGCCTGGGAGTGTTCTTTGTGTGTACATTTGCTCACAAGACACACAAAGGAGCCATTATTTCTTCCTAGATTAGCGCAGTAAGAAGGAGGAAGCCTCCTGATGTCTGCAATGACCAGGGTGTCTCACTTTGATCTTGATAAAAAAAAAAAACACTGGTGGAATATAGCGTTCACTTGCGGCTGTATGACTGTCGCCCTGCTGCTGGGGTGATGCTGTTTACTTGTTCTCCTCCAGCTTTAAGACTCGGGTATGTTTATAAGAGGGTCATCGATGCGCTCTTGTTTTCTCTAAGTCTCGCCGAAACAGTCTTCCCTCTCTGTGAATGTTCTCTATCGTCCTTTGTCATGGTTCAATTTTATTCTCGAAGTCTTCAATTTATGTTGCTGGTATGGATGTAGTGGAGAAGTGGTTTTAGTGCTTATCTGTCAACTAGGTGATCCCTGGTTCACATCACCGCTCAGGAGGCAGTGTGTTTATCTAAGACTGGTACAGTGTTAGGAGTATGACAATATATCACTCTTATTATGGTGACAGAATTTTTAGTTAACAAAAATACGCTTACTAGCTTATTTCACCTGATGATTAGACACCCTAATGCTATCTGAGGGGGGGTTAGGTTAGGTTAGGTTAGGTTAGGTTAGCGTTTGGGGGTTTGATCATCGGGTCAAATAAGCTGGTGTGCCTAGTTTTCACGTATCCGATAAACTCTGATACATTGAGCATGACACCGGGCCAATATCTCTCGAGGACCTTACGCCATTGTTGGAGGTACCAGTGACCTAGTTCTTATTAAGAGGCCGTGAGAAGGAGGTCAGGTGAGAGTAGGTCATAACCCAGCTTTGTTGTACCCCGTCAGAAGTACAAGTAACACATATGTACTACAATAAGACTACTTGCTAGTGTTGCATATATCCATGTTCATCACTGTTACTTCTTCCTGTTCACAGATATTCAATTATGAGGGACACGGATCTGACGTACAGATGGTATGATTCACAGGTAACTTTTTACAGGTACTTACTCTATGGTAAAGAATTCGTGTAGTGGTACAGCGGCACATCTAGCGCCCTCTGGTAGTCTCTTCACATGACACACTGACCTACAGTACAGTACGGTGGGAGAATAATGTACAGTGTCGAACACATTGCTGTTCTGACTTTATCCACACACACACACACACACACACACACACACACGCACACACACACGGCGCACGCGCGCTAGAATACCATGTTGTTCAGAACACAGTGATGTTAAGAACAGTGATGTTAAGAACAGTGATGTTAAGAACAGTGATGTTAAGAACAGTGATGTTAAGAACAGTGATGTTAAGAACAGTGATATAAGAACAGTGATGTGAACAGTGATGTTAAGAACAGTGATATTAAGAACAGTGATATTAAGAACAGTGATGTTAAGAACAGTGATGTTAAGAAAATATATGTTAGAACAGTGATGTTAAGAACAGTGATATTAAGAACTGATGTTAAGAACAGTGATATTAAGAACAGTGATATTAAGAACAGTGATATTAAGAACAGTGATGTTAAGAACAGTGATGTTAAGAACAGTGATATTAAGAACAGTGATGTTAAGAACAGTGATATTATGAACAGTGATATTAAGAACAGTGATATTATGAACAGTGATATTAAGAACAGTGATATTAAGAACAGTGATGTTAAGAACAGTGATGTTAAGAACAGTGATGTTAAGAACAGTGATATTAAGAACAGTGATGTTAAGAACAGTGATGTTAAGAACAGTGATATGTAATAAAAGTGATGTTAAGAACAGTGATGTTAAGAACAGGATGTTAAGAACAGTGATGTTAAGAACAGTGATATTAAGAACAGTGATGTTAAGAACAGTGATGTTAAGAACAGTGATATTATGAACAGTGATATTAAGAACAGTGATGTTAAGAACAGTGATATTTAGAACAGTGATGTTAAGAACACAGTGATGTTAAGAACACAGTGATGTTATGAACACAGTGATGTTAAGAACACAGTGATGTTAAGAACAGTGATGTTAAGAACACAGTGATGTTAAGAACACAGTGATGTTATGAACACAGTGATGTTAAGAACATGATATTAAGAACAGTGATGTTAACACAATGATGTTAAGATAAGTGATGTTAAGAACACAGTGATGTTAAGAACACAGTGATGTTATGAACATGATATTAAGAACACAGTGATGTTAAGAACACAGTGATGTTAAGAACAAGTGATATTAAGAACAGTGATGTTAAGAACACAGTGATGGTAAGAACACAGTGATGTTATGAACACAGTGATGTTAAGAACAGTGATATTAAGAACAGTGATGTTAAGAACACAATGATGTTAAGAGCAGTGATGTTAAGAACACAGTGATGTTAAGAACACAGTGATGTTATGAACACAGTGATGTTAAGAACACAGTGATGTTAAGAACAGTGATGTTAAGAACAGTGATGTTAAGAACAGTGATGTAGAACGATATTAAGATCAGTGATATTAAGAACAATGGTATTAGAACGATGTTAAGAACAGTGATGTTAGAACAGTGATGTTAAGAACAGTGATGTTAAGAACAGTGATGTTAAACAGTGATGTTGAAACAGTGATGTTAAGAACAGTGATATAAGAACAGTGATGTTAAGAACAGTGATGTTAAGAACAGTGATGTTAAGAACAGTGATGTTAGAAGTGATATTAAGAACAGTGATGTTGAACAGTGATATTAGAACAGTGATGTTAAGAATGATGATGAAGAACAGTGTATTGAAATGACAGTGATGTTAAGAACACAGTGATGGAACAGTGATGTTAAGCACAGTGATGTTAAGAACAGTGATGTTAAAACACAGTGATGTTAAGAACACAGTGATGTTATGAACACAGTGATGTTAAGAACACAGTGATGTTAAGAACAGTGATGTTAAGAATCAGTGATGTTAAGAACACAATGATGTTAAGAACAGTGATGTTAAGAACACAATGATGTTAAGAGCAGTGATGTTAAGAACAGTGATGTTAAGAACACAGTGATGTTGAACAGTGATGTTAAGAACACAGTGATGTTAAGAACACAGTGATGTTATGAACACAGTGATGTTAAGCAGTGATGTTAGAACCAATGATGTTAAGAGCAGTGATGTTAAGAACAGTGATGTTAAGAACACAGTGATGTTAAGAACACAGTGATAAGAACAGTGATGTTAAGAACAGTGAAGTTAAGAACACAGTGATGGTAAGAACACAGTGATGTTATGAACGGTGATGTGATGAACACAGTGATGTTTAGAACACAGTGATGTTAAGAACACAGTGATGTGATGAACACAGTGATGTTAAGAATAGTGATGTTAAGAACAGTGATGTGGACACAGTGAAGTTAAGAACAGTGAAGTTAAGAACAGTGATGTTAAGAACAGTGATGTTATTGATGATGTTAAGAACAGTGATGTTAGGAACAGTGATGTTAAGAACAGTGATTTTATGAACGGTGATGTTAAGAACAGTGATGTTAAGAATAGTGATGTTAAGAACAGTGATGTTAAGAACAGTGAAGTTAAGAACACAGTGATGGTAAGAACACAGTGAAGTTATGAACGGTGATGTTAAGAACAGTGATGTTAAGAACAGTGATGTTATGAACACAGTGATGTTAAGGACACAGTGATGTTAAGAAAAGTGAAGTTAGAACACAGTGATGGTAAGAACACAGTTATGTTATGAACGGTGATGTTAAGAACACAGTGATGTTAAGAACACAGTGATGTGATGAACACAGTGATGTGATGAACACAGTGATGTTAAGAACGCAGTGATGTTAAGAACACAGTGATGTTAAGAACAGTGATGTTATGGACTCAATGATGTTAAGAACAGTGATGTTAAGAAAAGTGATGTTAAGACAGTGATGTTAAGAACATATTGATGTAGAACACAGTGATGTAAGAACACAGTGATGTTGAGAACAGTGATGTTAAGAACAGTGATGTTATGAACGGTGATGTTAAGAACACTGATGTAAGAACAGTGAAGATAAGAACAGTGTGATGTTAAGTACAGTGATGTTAGAACAGTGATGTTAAGAACAGTGATGTTAAGAATAGTGATATTAGGAACAGTGATGTTAAGAACAGTGTAATGTTAAGAACAGTGATGTTAAGAACAGTGATGTTAAGAACAGTGATGTTAAGAACAGTGATGTTAAGAACAGTGATGTTAAGAACAGTGATGTTAAGAACAGTGATGTTAAGAACAGTGATGTTAAGAACAGTGATGCTAAGAACAGTGATATTAAGAACAGTGATGTTAAGGACAGTGATGTTAAGAACAGTGATGTTAAGAACAGTGATGTTAAGGGCAGTGATGTTAAGAACAGTGATGTTAAGGACACAGTGATGTTAAGAACAGTGAAGTTAAGAACACAGTGAAGTTATGAACGGTGATGTTAAGAACAGTGATGTTAAGAGCAGTGATGTTAAGAACAGTGATGTTATGAACACAGTGATGTTAAGGACACAGTGATGTTAAGAAAAGTGAAGTTAAGAATACAGTGATGGTAAGAACACAGTGATGTTTTGAACGGTGATGTTAAGAACACAGTGATGTTATGAACACAGTGATGTAATGAACACAGTGATGTTTAGAACAGTGATGTTTAGAACAGTGATGGTAAGAACAGTGATGGTAAGAACAGTGATGTTAAGAATGTAATGGTGTTAAGGATAGTGGGTTTAAGTGTTTAGTGGTGCCAAGAACAATAAGGTGCACAACAGAACCGTATAGAGAACAGAACAGAGAAACGAATAACAGAACTGATTAGTGGCTGCGAGAGAACACAGTATTACCAGGAACACAACACAGTATTACCAGGAACACAACACAGTATTACCAGGAACACAACACAGTATTACCAGGAACACAACACAGTATTACCAGGAACACAACACAGTATTACCAGGAACACAACACAGTATTACCAGGAACACAACACAGTATTACCAGGAACACAAACGTATACCAGGAACACAACAGCAACACAGTACCAGGAACACAACACAGTATTACCAGGAACACAACACTGTATTACCAGAACACAACACAGTATTACCAGGAACACAACACAGTATTACCAGGAACACAACACAGTATACCAGGAACACAACACAGTATTACCAGGAATACAACACAGTATTACCAGGAACACAACACTGTATTACAGGAATACAACACAGTATTACCAGGAATACAACACAGTATTACCAGGAACACAACACTGTTTACAGGAATACAACACAGTATACCAGGAATACAACACAGTATTACCAGGAACTCAACAACACAGTATTACCAGGAAAACAACAACACATTATTACCAGGAACACAACACAGTATTACCAGAACACAACACAGTATTACCAGGAACACAACACAGAATTACCAGGAACACAAGTATTCAGGAACACAACACAGTATTACCAGGAACACAACAAGATTACAGAACACAAACGTATTACCAGGAACACAACACAGTATTACCAGGAACAACAGATTCAGGAACACAACACAGTATTACCAGGAACACAACACAGTATTACCAGGAACACAACAACACAGTATACCAGGAACACAACACAGTATTACCAGGAACACAACACAGTATTACCAGGAACACAACACAGTATACTAGGAACACAACACTGTACAGGAACACAACACAGTATTACCAGGAACACAACATAGTATTACCAGGAACACAACACAGTATTAAGGCACAACACAGTATTACCAGGAACACAAACACAGTATTACCAGGAACACAACACAGTATTACCAGGAACACAACACAGTATTACCAGGAACACAACACGTATTACCAGGAACACAACACAGTATTACCAGGAACACAACAACACAGTATTACCAGGAACACAACACAGTATTACCAGGAACACAAACACAGTATTACCAGGAACACAACACAGTATTACCAGGAACACAACACTGTACCAGGAACACAACAAAATTACCAGGAACACAACACGTATACCAGGAACACAACACAGATTCGGAACACAACACTGTATTACCAGGAATACAACACAGTATTACCAGGAACACAACACAGTATTACCAGGAACACAACAACACAGTATTACCAGAACACAACACAGTATTACCAGGAACACAACACAGTATTACCAGGAACACAACACACTATTACCAGGAACACAAACACAGTATTACCAGGAACACAACACAGTATTACCAGGAACACAACACAGTATTACCAGAACACAACAAAGTATTACAGGAACACAACACTGTATTACCAGGAACACAACACAGTATTACCAGGAACACAACACAGTATACCAGGAACACAACACAGTATTACCAGGAAACAACACAGTATTAGGAACACAACACAGTATTACCAGGAACACAACAACAGTATTACCAGGAACTCAACAACACAGTATTACCAGGAACTCAACAACACAGTATTACCAGAACACAACAACACAGTATTACCAGGAACACAACAACACAGTATTACCAGGAACACAACACAGTATTACCAGGAACACAACACAGTATTACCAGGAACACAACAACACAGTATTACCAGGAACACAACACAGTATTACCAGGAACACAACACAGTATTACCAGGAACACAACACAGTATTACCAGGAACACAACACAGTATTACCAGGAACACAACAACACAGTATTACCAGGAACACAACACAGTATTACCAGGAACACAACAACACAGTATTACCAGGAACACAACACAGTATTACCAGGAACACAACACAGTATTACCAGGAACACAACAACACAGTATTACCAGGAACACAACACAGTATTACCAGGAACACAACAACACAGTATTGCCAGGAACACAACAACACAGTATTACCAGGAACACAACAAAGTATTTCAGGAACACAACAACACAGACCAGGAACACAAAACAATATTACCAGGAACACAACACAATATTACCAGGAACACAACACTGTATTACCAGGAACACAACACAGTATTACCAGGAACACAACACAGTATTACCAGGAACACAACAACACAGTATTACCAGGAACACAACACAGTATTACCAGGAACACAACACAGTATTACCAGGAACACAACACAGTATTACCAGGAACACAACACAGTATTACCAGGAACACAACAACACAGTATTACCAGGAACACAACACAGTATTACCAGGAACACAACACAGTATTACCAGGAACACAACACAGTATTACCAGGAACACAACACAGTATTACCAGGAACACAACAACACAGTATACCAGGAACACAACACAGTATTACCAGGAACACAACACAGTATACCAGGAACACAACACAGTATTACCAGGAACACAACACAGTATTACCAGGAACACAACACAGTATTACCAGGAACACAACAACACAATATTACCAGGAACACAACACAGTATTACCAGGAACACAACACAGTATTACCAGGAACACAACACACAGTATTACCAGGAACACAACACAGTATTACCAGGAACACAACACAGTATTACCAGGAACACAACACAGTATTACCAGGAACACATCACAGTATTACCAGAACACAACACAGTATTACCAGGAACACAACACAGTATTACCAGGAACACAACACAGTATACTCAGGAATACAACAACACAGTATTACCAGGAACACAACACAGTATTACCAGGAACACAACACAGTATTACCAGGAACACAACACTGTATTACCAGGAACACAACAACACAGTATTACCAGGAACACAACACAGTATTACCAGGAACACAACAACACAGTATTACCAGGAACACAACACAGTATTACCAGGAACACAACACAAGTATTACCAGGAACACAACAACACAGTATTACCAGGAACACAACACAGTATTACCAGGAACACAACAACACAGTATTACCAGGAACACAACAACACAGTATTACCAGGAACACAACAACACAGTATTACCAGGAACACAACACAGTATTACCAGGAACACAACAACACAGTATTACCAGGAACACAACAACACAGTATTACCAGGAACACAACAACACAGTATTACCAGGAACACAACACAGTATTACCAGGAACACAACACAGTATTACCAGGAACACAACACAGTATTACCAGGAACACAACAACACAGTATTACCAGGAACACAACAACACAGTATTACCAGGAACACAACACAGTATTACCAGGAACACAACACAGTATTACCAGGAACACAACACAGTATTACCAGGAACACAACACAGTATTACCAGGAACACAACAACACAGTATTACCAGGAACACAACACAGTATTACCAGGAACACAACAACACAGTATTACCAGGAACACAACAACAGTATCAGGAACACAACAACACAGTATTACCAGGAACACAACACAGTATTACCAGGAACACAACACAGTATTACCAGGAACACAACACAGTATTACCAGGAACACAACACAGTATTACCAGGAACACAACACAGTATTACCAGGAACACAACACAGTATTACCAGGAACACAACACAGTATTACCAGGAACACAACACAGTATTACCAGGAACACAACACAGTATTACCAGGAACACAACACTGTATTACCAGGAACACAACACAGTATTACCAGGAACACAACACAGTATTAAGGAACATAACACAGTATTACCAGGAACATAACACTGTATTACCAGGAACACAACTCAGTATTACCAGGAACACAACACAGTATTACCAGGAACACACAATATTACCAGGAACACAACACAGTATTACCAGGAACACAACACAGTATTACCAGGAACACAACACAGTATTACCAGGAACACAACACAGTATTACCAGGAACACAACACAGTATTACCAGGAACACAACACAGTGTTTGTCTTTCCTGACTGACTGATGTTGTTTTTCCTTGTGAGGGATTTATTTTTTCACGTTATTGGGCGTGTAACTAGCACGAACTGTCTTACCACCACTCCCACCATCTCCACCACTCCCACCATCTCCACCACTCCCTCCTCCGCTCACCATCACCACCACTACCACATCTCCACCACTCCCTCCTCCGCTCACCATCACCACCACTCCCACCATCTCCACCACTCCCTTCCTCCACTCATCATCACCACCACTCCCACCATCTCCACCACTCTTCCTCCACTCATCATCACCACCACTCCACCATCTCCATCACTCCCTCCTCCGCTCACCATCACCACCACTCCCACCTCTCCATCACCCCTCCCTCCTGCTCACCATCACCACCATCCACCATCCCACCATTCTCCACCACCCCCACCATCTCCACCACTCCCCACCATCTCACCACCCACCATCTCCACCACCCTCCTCCGCTCACCATCACCACCACTCCCAC